AAAAAAATAAAATAGCCTTTTTAGGCTTAAATTACACTATTTTAAAAATAGGAAAAAGTACGATACTTTTCAGTATTTCTAAATAAAGTTCATGTTATTTTCCATTATTTTCAGAGATCATTCATAATTTTCTTCCACACAGATGTACAAAGATGGAACATTTATGAGAGACATTCTGTACTAGAACATACTGGAAAGAAAAGAGAAGCCCATTACAAGTCTTTCTTCAATGAAGAAATCTTGTCGTCCAGTAACTACAGCTAATAATGGCTTCTCTATTTTTAGATCTCCTATAGGACAGATGTTCCTCAGAAAACAAAAAAATCTGTCCTATAGGTAATCCAAAAAATCTGAAGAAAATTAAAACAAGTCCATGAGAACCAAAATACGATCTTGAGTATATCCCACTTGAATTTGGAGACTATCTCAAGAATAGATTTGACACTTTCAACACTAATGACTGAAGACCAGATGAGTTGTGGGATGACATCAAGGACTTCATACATGAAGAAAGCAAAAGGTCATTAAAAAGACAGGAAAGAAGAAAAGACCAAAATGGATGTCAGATGAGACTCTGAAACTTGTTCCTGAACGTAGAGTAGCTAAAGTGAATGCAAGAAATGATGAAGTAAGAGAGCTGAACAGAAGATTTCAGAGGGCGGTTGGAGAAGACAAAGTATTATAATGAAATGTGCAAAGACCTGGAGTTAGAAAACCAAAAGGGAAGAACATGCTCAGCATTTCTCAAGCCGAAAGAACTAAAGAAAAAATTCAAGCCTAGAGTTGCAATTTTGAAGGATTCCATGGGCAAAATATTGAATGACACAGGAAGCACCAAAAGAAGATGGAAGTAATACAGAGTCACTGTATCAAAAAGAACTGGCTGACGTTCAATCATTTTAGAAGGTAGCATATGATCAAGAATTGATGGTACTGATAGAAGAAGAAGTCCAACCTGCACTGAAGGCATTGTCAAAAAACAAGACTCTAGGAATTGATGGAATACCAACTGAGATGTTTCAACAAACAGATGTGATGCTGGAGGTGCTCACTAGCCTAAGTTAAGAAATTTGGAAGACAGCTAGCTACCTGGCTAACTGACTGTAAGAGATACATATTTGTGCCCATTCCAAAGAAAGGTGATCCAACAGAACACGGAAATTATTGAACAATATCATTAATATCACATGCAAGTATAATTTTGCTGAAGATCATTCAAAAACGGTTGTTAACAGTACATCAACAGGGAACAGCCAGAAATTCAAGGCAGATTCAAGAGGACGTGGAATGAGGGATATCAATGTTGCTGTCGGACGGATCTTGGCTGAAAGCAGAAAATAGCAGAAAGATGTTTACCTGTGTTTTATTGACTATGCAAAGGCATTCGCCTGTTAATCATACCAACTTATGGATAACACTGCAAAGAATGGGAATTCCAGAACACTTCACTGTGTTCATGAGGAACCTGTACTTAGACCAAGAGGCAGCTGTTCAAATAGAACAAGGGGATACTGTGTGGTTTAAAATCAGGAAAAGTGTGTCTCAGAGTTGTATCCTTTCACCATACTTATTCAATCTGGATGCTGAGCAAATAATCTGAGAAGCTGGACTATATGAAAAGAATGCAGCATCAGGACTGGAGGAAGACTGATTAACAACGTGCAATATGCAGATGACACAACCTTGCCTGCTGAAAGCAAAGAAGACTTGAAGCACTTACTGATGAAGATCAAAGACCACAGCCTTCAATATGGATTACACCTCAACATAAACAAAACAAAAATCCTCACAAATAGACCAATAATCAACATCGTGATAAACGGAGAAAAGATTGAAGTTGTCAAGGATTTCATTTTACTTGGATCTACAGTCAACGCCCATGGACGCTGCAGTCAAGAAATCAAATGACATATTGCGTTTGGCAAATCTGCTGCAAAAGACCTCTTTAAAGTGTTAAAAAGCAAAGATGTCACTTTAAGGACCAAGGTGAGCCTGACTCAAGTCATGCTGTTTTCAATTGCCTCATATGCATGTGAAAGCTGGACAATGTAGAAGGTAGACTGAAGAAGAACTGATGCCTTTGAATTATGATGGTGGGGAAGAATACTGAATATACCATGGACCGCCACAAGAATAAACAAATCTGTCTTGGAAGTACAGCCAGAATGCTCCTTAGAAGCAGGGATGGTTGAGACTTCCTCTCATATACTTTGGATATGTTATCAGGAGGGACCAGTCCCTGGAGAAGGACATAATGCTTGGTAAAGTAGGGGGTCAGTGAAAAAGAGGAAGACCCTCAACGAGATGGACTGACACAGTGGCTGCAACAACGGGCTCAAGCATAACACGGATTGTGAGGATGGCGCAGGACCGGGCAGTGTTTCAGTCTCACGCACACAGGGTTGCTCTGAGTTGGAAATCAGCTTGATGGCACCTAAAAACAGTAACAACAAGCACCAGTCTCAACTCTGAGAGGGAGCTCACCAGCTCTTTCTACAACTTATCCACCAGAAACCTCATCTTATTCTCTGGCTAAAAGAGGAAGCAGGTGAGTTTTAGCCACAACACTGCTCATAGCTCTATTAGAGCACTCACCATACATATATAATAATATATATGTTTATATCAGGGTTCCCTCAACCTTGACACTATTGACATTTGAAGGCAGATAATTCTGTGGGGGCTGTTCTGTGCATTGTAGGATGTTTAGCAACATCCCTGACCTCTACCCACTAAATGCCAGTGGCAATTCCCCAGTTGTGACAACTGAAAATGTCTCCAGGCATTGCCGAATGTCCCCTGGGAAGCAAAATTGGTCCCAGCTGATAACCACTGGCTTTTATGTTTGGCTGTGACTTACACTATGAGCTATTCAACTGAATCAGCATCTTCACAATCCCATTACTATGTCTACTGCCTAGCACATTCCTGGAGTATAGCAGCCACTAAACACATGTTTTCTGAATAAATGCCTGTTAAATGAACCTATTGCCATTGAGTCGATTCTGACTCAGTGCAACCTTATAAGACAGAGTAGAACTGCCTCAGAGGGTTTCCAAGGAGCAGCTGGTAGATTCAAACTGCTGATATTTTGGTTAGTAACCAAGATCTTAACCACTGTGCCACCAGGGCTCCATTAAATGAACAAGATTTAAAAGTTATAATTCCTCTTGGATGCCTGCAAATCCCAAATTTAAATTCAAATCATGGCATAACTATTTATTAAATGTAAGGTCTTGGGCAAGTATTCTTTAATCTTTGGTTTTCTCATCTGTAAAATTGGAACTTTACTCCTTATCTCATAGTGTTGTTAGGAGTATAGAATGGCAATATGCATGTAAAAGGCATAGTATATAGTAGATAAACAATACATGTACTGCCTTTCTCCTTAATCTAACAGATCATTTTCCAATTTCCTTTCCCACTCTTGCCTCCAATTCTTTTTAATCCTTCTTTGGTGAGCTTAGTATGGAGTCTCATGCTTTAGTGTGTGCTGAGTTATTTAGGGGTAGTAGAGGCATCAATTACCATCTGCCATTCTACTTACGAAAGCCACAACACTGCACTTTCTCCTTTTTCTTTCACTCTTGCAAGGAGGTAACTTTAAGGAATTCTTTAAAATCAGTAAAAATGTACCTGGATTTGGGATTTTCACAGTCTAGATAAGTAGTTATCAACAGAGTTTATTGATTTCAGTTTCATCTATGAAATGCACTCTACAAATCTGTTTCCTTTAAACCAATCGCTCCACTGTATTATTTTTCTACATTTCTTAACATTTCCCGTTGAGAACAAGTAAATATTTCCACAACAGAATGCCATACCTCATAATCACTTTCCAAAAATTCGTGTAAGATCATTTCATAGATGAGTGGTTTCAGAACTGGGTCCCCTCTTGGCAAATACGGACTAATAGCCTAGGGAAGGAAAAGGAAAAAGAAATCCTATAAAGAGTGGTAAAACAAAACTTTATTCCAGTTAGTCACAAAACATAAATGTGTATTTCTACTTTTTAAAATTTAAGGCAACAACATACTTTGGAATTATATGAAAAGATTCAAATAAACTCTATTGCAACACATTATATTTTAAAGAGTATCTATGGATGTATGTAAAGTAAATGAATCAATGAATAAAAATTGCCTAGGTTAATCTTTATCACCCTGTTCTCCTTGATGAATTAATGAAAATCTCAATAACCGGAGGGAGAAGGTCATAGTGATTATAAAAGCCAACCTCTTAAGTAATCAAGGAATATAGGTCATCTATTCATCTTTGTTTCCTTATTATTTTAACCTTTAAAACGCTCACAATCATCTTTTGAAATTAGGGGCATATCTAGCTTGCGCTCTTTGGATATTATCAGTGTTGTGATAAAAGTCAAGTTTCCCAATACTGTTAAATCACTCTGTCGTGCACTATGCACCAAACACCAGGCTTTGCGCTGGGGACAGAGAGCTAGGGTCACCATTCTCGAAGAACTCACAGCCCCAGAGGGAAGATGGACAGATATTTACACAGATTATTGCAACATTTTGTAATAAGCTTTAGAAGTGTGGGGTTGACAAAGTGCTATGGTGAGCAGAGGAGAATCTTGCATACTGAATCAGTATATGCTTTAGGTCTATCAGGCAAAGAAAAGGGGAAAGGCATCTCTGGGAGGGGGAATAACATGAGCAGAGATGTGGAGACATGAACACACACTTGTGTTCAGGTGGTCAGTGTTTCAGAGATGTGAAATGGGGGTCACTGAAGGGAGATGAGGCTGGAGAGGAAGGATGGGGGTGGGGTCATGAAAGGAATCTGGATTTTATCCTATGGGCAAGAGGGAAGCAACAGAGATTAGGGAAGTGAGAGTACCAGATTTATTTTTTTTTAAAGCTAACTGTGTATGGAGTTGCTCGAAGATCTATCAAAAGGCCCTTGCAATAGCTCAGGCAAGAGTTGGGCAGTGAGAGGGAGAGGAGAGACCCTATTGGTATCGACAAGGAAAAACTAACAAGAATTGGAGATTAAATAGAATAAGGTGAGTAAAATGTCCTCATCAATAACAGCTGGCTAAAGATATTAAGATTGAGGAAATGGGTATATTGTGATGTCATAACACATTGAAAGGAGAAGGACCAAATTTGGGAAGGAAAACGAATTCACGTTAATTAGGAGCCCTGGTGGCACAGTGGTTAAGTGTTTGGCTGCTAACCAAAAGACTGGCAGTTCAAATCCACCAGCTGGTCCTTGGAAACCCTATAGGACAGTTATACTCTGTCCTATAGGGTTGCTATGAGTTGGAATTGACTTGATGGCAATGGGTTCGTTAACAGTTATTCACAGAATACACAAAGAGAAATGGCCATGACACAGTTGAAAATATCAAGAGACCTAGTTTACGAAGCCATCAGGGTAAATACAGCCCCAGGACTAGATGAGATCCACCAGAAGCCATCCAATAAATACAACAATAAGTGTCTGCAGGGAGCTTGCTCCCAGGGAACAGTAACATGCATGGGTAGGCACAAAAGGAGTCATATACTGACCAGCTGAGTAACTGAGGATTTTTAAAAGCATATTTATAAGTCCAAGAAAGCATTTAAAATGCCTAAAACTTAAAAAAAAAAAAATTTAACAGGAACACTTTAATGACTGGTGTGGATATTCTGCACTAAGTTGAATGATAAAAAATAAAATATTAAAAGCATTTGTTAGAGCTGCACAGTCAAATTTTTCCATTTATCTTCAGGTGGGTAAAACACTATTTGAAAAATACATTAATTCTTTAGTAAACCTGAAAAAAATCTTATGTTTTATAAACTACTGGGTAAGATTATTCTTTCATTAAAAAGAACCTGAAAACTTCATCTAAACACAGAGAATACTAGAAGACGGTAAGAAAATAAACACATCATGTATGTAATATGAGCCTTGGTGGCAAAATGGTTAAGAGCTTGGCTTGTAACAAAAAGTTCAGCAGTCTGAATCCACCAGCTGCTCCTTGGAAACCCCATGGGGCAGTTCTGAGTCAGAACTACTTGATGGCAATAGGTTAGGGTTTTTTATATGTAAGATATGACATATATATAATATATGTAATTATATATTATATAACACATATTAATTCTATATATTATTATTTTATACACATAAAATATAAACTAGGTTTATATTTTGAAACCAATTTCTAAAAGAGTTTCTTCCCAGCTAATACTGGCTTCCTAATAGAGAACTGAGTCTTTCAACTTTATTTCCATCTCTGTATTAGTATACTATACGCAAGATTGAGTTAAAAATAAAGCTTTGCTTACCTTAAGCTGTCCGATTTCTTTAAATTTATAAACTTCATATTCCCAGAGTGCTGCATTTTTCCCAAGAATTTTCTGGCATTTGCTGGTGGTGAGATCATCCCAGGGAGGAAGAAATTATAAAAAAATTAAACCGACAATTGGACATTTGCCCAGGTTATCTGATAGCTCTCTCATCCCAGATTTTTGACAAGTGTCTAACTCCATCGCCATTGCATCAGGGATTATTGTTACTCACTTGATAGTATACACAAGGTTGATCAAAAACCAAACCCACTGTCACTGAGTCAATGCTGACTCATAGTGACCCTACAGGACAAATAAAACTACCCCACAGGGTTTCCAAGGCTGCAATCTTTACAGAAGAGACTGCTACATCTTTCTCCAGTGACAACGCTGACAGAAATCATGAAAATTAATACAAAAGACTTATGAGTAAAGAAACATCTCCCTCACAAGACTACAATAGGGATTTTGCCAAGGATTATTCTGTGCTGAGTTTGCTCTTCATCTAGTTGAGCAGTGCTGGTTTGGGGGCCTTTCCCGCCTTAAGCGAATCTCATCATACAAATCTTCAACCAAAAGTGCCAGAGTAAACCACTTCTTGAACTGCTTAAGAAAATGGACTACAAAATGACTTCAGAAAATTAGAATCCTATATTCAGGCTGCTAACCAAATGGTCAGCAGTTTGAATCCACCAGTCACTCGCTGGAAACCCTATGGGGCAGTTCTATTCTGTCCTATAGAGTAGCTGTGAATTGGAATTGACTTGATGGCAAACAGTTTGGTTTATTTGTTTTGGTATATATCTATAGCTGTGGGAATGACTGTTCACATGTGAATGAAACCTTATTTTAAACACGATACAAACACATTTTCTTACATCTCAGGAGTTTAAAAGAGTCAGCCTCGAAAGTTGTCTCCCAGGGCCAAAAGGTCATCAGGAAGACGTGCACAGCCCCAGCAGGAGTCATTCACAAAGACCAACATTAACACCATATAACATTTATGTTTTCTGCCCACCATAAGACCCCTGCAAACCAGGAGTCTGGGGTCTGATCACTTCCATTTTATTGCCCCCCTTTTATCAGGAGATAATTCGGCCTGGGTCTCTCAAGTTTCTGCATAAATAAGTGAGCAGATGCACTGACTGCCTTTATTCCAGACTATCTTCTCAAGGTTGGCTTATAGAGTGAACAGCCTTGGAAATTAGATGATACAGGGAATGTCTTCCTCCAGGGCAAATGGCAGGTTAGTTTACTGTCCACCGTAATAATGTCTCATTCTAGAGCAAAGGTCAGGCAGCCTTACTGTCCATTATAAAAGATTCAGATGCCCTAAGCTCAGAATTCTTCTCCCGTAACACAACCCACTGCATGTACATGGCCATATCTCTGTGTGTTGCCTTGTGGGAAGTGGAGCTTGGGGAACTGGTATAAAGGCTGATATTCTGGCTACTACTATTGTGATGAGTTGGCAATAGTTTTGGTTTACTATTGCTGAGATAGTCCTTTGTCTCTGACCCAGGAGTCTCGTATCTTCTGCCAGCATCCATGAAACCATAACAGTCTAACTTGTTAGCTTATAAACAAAGTAACATTTCAGGCTCTTCATTGTTCTTGATGCTTTTCTTATGAAATGTTATGAAAAACATTTCTCTTTTGGTAGAGAGAGTAGGTGGAGAAATAATATATATTAATCCATTCTGTGGTTAAAACCATCCATTAATAGTCAAAAGTTACCCTTGTTACAGAGATGTAAAGGAATAAAGTGAATCAACTATAAAGAATGGCTTATTTTTATTGTTAACACTGGTCTATTCTACTTATATAAACAAATAGTTGTGAAAATGTCATTATTACCGTGCTGCTATGTCATACTCTCCTTTCTCCACCAGGTGATTTATATATGCCAAGCCAATATCCTAGGAAAAATTAAACAAAGGAATTTCATAATTCAACTGGAACAACCAAAATGTTTAGTCGCAGTTTCTGAGCAGGACACAACATTAAGGTCACAGTCACTACTGAACTGCAACCTGTTCCTATGCCTCAGTTTGCTTTAATTATGCTTGCTTCTTTCTTAAGCATATGCATATTTAAATATACTTGTGTTTATGTTTCCATAACTTTTAGAATCCTCAATTTTTTTAAAATAAATAATGTTACTATTGTAAAGGCTCCTAATCTACCCCTTTCTGATTCTTTAGAAAATAAACAGCCAATATTAACAAACACGGTCCAGCAACTCTAGACTGTCTCTGAATATAAAGTTCTGTTTCTTGAGCTTTCACTTCTAAGATCTGAGCTACCTATCTCCTCTACCCCAAAATCTGAAGAAATGCTGTCAAGAAAAACTAAATGGCAGATGATCATATTATAGTGAAATATTAAATATCAAAGTAAATACTGACGTGAAAATGAGCTCAGAAAAAAATGTAATTCAAACCCACGAGTTTACAGATGAGGAAACTGGTGTTCAAACCAGTGAAAATAACTGGCTTCAGTGCTTAAGTTTATTCACTTGCTCCACTTCGGTTCTAAAAGGAGTTGAGGTGACCAGCGTCACCAGAGGTATGGGAGGATGGCTCTTGATTGATCTCCCCACGTCTCTTTGTATGAAATATTATTTCCGTCCAATAGCATTTTCATGAGAAGCTTAAACTTATTATGTATATTTTAAAAACGTGGATTTTTAAGTTCTACTTTATGTACAACAGATTTACGTAAAATTTCTTCCCAGATGATAGGATGGGTAGCAGGAGCCATTTCTTGTTGCATACCTGTTTTGAAATTACATCATACTAGGAAGAAAGGTTCTATGCCTAACTGACATATAGAACATGCCTACTTCAAGATTGAAGAGAATAACTAATATTTTTCAGTTTACTGAAATTTTACTTTAATGACTACCATGTAGGAAATCATATTTCAAATCTGTAGTAACTTGGGTCTTAAAAGGCTGGGAACAGCCATCTAAGATACTCCACTGGTCTCACTGCTTTGGGAGCAAGGGAGAATGAAGAAAACAAGATACAAGGAAAAGATTAGTACAGAGGACTAATGGACCACAACTACCACAGCCTCCACCGCACTGAGTCCAATACAACTAGATGGTGCCCGGCTAGCACCACTGACTGCTCTGACCAGGATCACAGTAGAGGGTCCCAGACAGAGCTGGAGAAAAACGTAGAACAAAAGTCTAACTCACAGAAAAAGACCAGTCTTACTGGCCTGACAGGGACTGGAGAAACCCTGAGAGTATGGTCCCTGGACACCCTTTTAGCTCAGTAATGAAATCACTCCCGAGGTTCACCCTTCAGCCAAAGATTAGACAGTCCCATAAAACAAAACAAGACTAATGGGGCACAACAGTCCAGGGACAAGGACTAGAAGACAGGACGGGACAGGAAAGCTGGTAATAGGGAATCCAGGGTTGAGAAGGGACACTGCTGACATGTCATGGTGTTGTTAACCACTGTCATAAAACAATATGTGTACTAACTGTTTAATGAGAAACTATTTGTTCTGTAAACCTTCACTTAAAGTACAATACAAAAAAAAATCTGTAGTAACTAGTGATGAAAAAGAAAGAATGCCTATTGTCTTAGTCATCAATCTTCCTCTGGACTAGCAGCTTCTCTGCGCAGGATCCCTGGGTCCAAAGGATGTGCTCTGCTCCGGAGCTGCTTTCTTGGTGGTATGAGGTTCCCAGCTCCCTGCTTGCTTCTCTTCCCTGTCATCTTTTGTAAGATAAAAGGTGGTGCAGGTCATACCCCAGGGAAACTTCCTTTACATTGGAACATGGATGTGACCTTGGTAAGGGTATTAACAATGCAATCCTAATCCTTTTTAACATAAAATTACAATCACAAAATGGAAGACAACCACACAATACTGGGAATCATGGCCTACCCAAGTTGACATATATTTTGGGGGGACACAATTCAGTCCATGACACCTATCTTCCTTATTTCTCTGAAAACAGATCACATATCACAATATCTGTAGAGGGTCTTTTTGTCAAAGTTCAGATGAGAAGATGTCTCCCTTTAGGAGACTATCCCTCTACCCTGTTCTCATGTTGGTATGGACTGAACTGTGTCCCCCAAAAGCTATGTTGGAGTCCTAACCTCTACACTGGTGAATGTGACCTTGTTTGGGGAAATAATGTTTTTCTTTGCAGATGTTATCAGTTAATAAAGACAGTGAATAGGGTGTGTTCTCATCTTAATCCCTCTGAATGGCCTCTTATACAAGAGAAGGACAGACACATAAACAGTCACACACAGGGGGTGAGAATCTGTCTACAAGTCAAGGAATGCCAAGAAACGTCTGGGGCTACAGAAACTGAAAGAGGTAAGAAGGGATCTTTCCCTAGAACCAACAAAGAAAGACCATAACACCCTGCTGAGGCCCTGAATTCAGACTTCTTCTAGTCTCCAGATCTGTGGGACAATAACTTTTTGTTCCTTAAAGCCACCCACTTTGTGGTATGCCTAGAAAATAAAGACACATGCCCATCTCCTTCTCCATTGTGGAGTTTATTCTGCCACTCATCCTCTTTCTCTTGTACTCCTTTGATTTCAACCTCTATTTTAGCTCTTTTCTTCTGGCAAAAGCATGTACACAAAATACTCAACAACTTTTTCATGGTGCCACAGCCTCCTGCTACCATCCTCACTCTTCTCTACTTCACAGTCAACCAACCTAGTTTACATTTAACTCTATTTCATAAATTATATTACTTCCTATAAATACGTTCAGAATAAATAGTACATATATAGAAAATTAACCAGTTAACACTCATATTACCAAATCCAACGTACAACTGTCTAGTTGGGCGTGACTTACCTTTGACCTGTTTACTTCAACTACCTAAGCGTTTAACTATCTTTACTCTGAAATGTTCTCCTTTCTCAATTCCCACGAGACAACCTTCCTCTCTTCCAAACCTGTTTTGTATGTATCATCCCTTGAATGTGAAAGTTCCCAGTGGTTCCATTCACTGTCCTCTGTTCTCTGATGTTATACATTTATTGTGTGGGCTGATCCAAACTCATGTATTTGACTGACGCTTGCTTGCTGGTGACGCTCCCAAATCTGAGTCTAGATCTTTTTCCTGAACTCCAATGGGATGCCTCATAGGCGCTTAAAACTCAGTGTGTCAAAAACAGAATTCATAATTTCCTGCAATCTTGCTCTTCCTTCCACTGTCTCTCTCTCTCACTGAATGGCACCACCATTGACTCACAGGCCCAAGTTTAAAGCCTAGAGGAGGCCCAAACTCTCTCATTCTCCTATCCACCTACCATCAGTCACCAAATCCTGAAGAGTCTAGTTTACCATATATTCCATTTATCGTCACCTCTCCACTTCTACAGACCCTGTGCAGGTCTCCTCACTTTCCACCCAGATTATCAAAAGGCCTCCTAACCGATCTTTCGTCTCAGCTAGACTTCTTTTGTCTCCCTATCACCACTAGGCAATCTTTCTGAAAGGCAAATCTGACATGGCACTGAAAGCTTAAATTGTCTTCTAGAGCTTCCAAGATAAAGCCAAGTTCCTAATTACACATGGCTCTTCAGTATCTGGCTCTTACTACTTCTGTTGTAAACCCCTCAACTGCCCCATGTATCCAAGCAGGTCAAGTGATTTCACGTCTCTGCACCTTCACATATGCTATTCTAGCGGCTTGAATGCTTTTTGCTCCATTTCTAGATAATCTTACTTACTCTCCACATTTTTAAATGAAGAAAAGATGCTCTGGTTCTTGCTCCTCCTTTTAGCCCCTGAATTATTTTGCTTGCACCTTCTTTGGGAAATAAGGCTCTTATCTGGAGTTTTACAGAGACGTTTAAGGTGGGGTAAGTGTTAAAACAAACAAACAAAAAAAAAAAAACCATTGCTGTCGAGTTGATTCCATCTCACAGTGACCCTATAGGACAGAGTAGAGCTGCCCCATTGGGTTTCCAAGGCTTTAAATCTTTATGGAAGCACACTGCCACATCTTTCTCCTGTGGACCGACTGGTGGGTTTCCGTTAACAGCCAAGTGCTTAACCACTGTGCCACCAGGGCTCCTTGGGGTAAGTGTAGGCAAAAGGAATTTCTGCTGAAACCCACATTATCACAAAAGACTAAGTTTCCAGTTTTCATCTGTAAAACAAGGGTAATGGGCTAGATGATTTCTAAGGACCCTTCATACTCAGAGGATATGATTTCTCTTCTGCCCTCCATCTGCACATTCACTGTCACAGTTAGCAATGACATGGGCTCTTCAGTCACTATATTTTCCCACAGTACAAAATGTAATAAAAATGTATTTGATGTCCTAGATTAGTCCCCATAACAAAATCAATTGAGGTGGTTATTATGGAGATACTGAAGCAATCTAGTTTTATCAAACCGCTCTTTTGATACATTTTGCGATAATGTGATTTTACCTAGAATTTAAAGAAACTTCCACATACGTAACTGGAAGGCTTTGTATTTAAAGTGTATTTCACTCACTGCACCACCAGTGCTCCATGTTACAAATACAGTTTCCAAATTATCTAAAACTACCTCCTAGCAGGGGTTAAAGTCTCTTGTTTACAAGCAGAAACTGATTCAATAAAATGATATATTTTGACCTCACAGGTTAGAGAATTAGTTTGAAACAAATTCTGAAAAGGTAGGTTCTTTTCAAATTACGTTCAGTCTCATTATAACTTACTGGAAGGGAAAATTGCATTCCACATAATACAACTACACACTTACCAGAATCTTATGTCTTTTAATGGTCTTTTGGCTTATTTCAGCTGCCATCAAAGCTTCCTGTATTTACACAAGCATGATAAAAGGAGTGGAAAAGGAGAGACAGAAAATGGCAGACAGTGGGAGAGAAAGAGACTGAGGTTATATACACTATATTTATTATGTTTTAAAGTTCTGGACAACATAAATAAAGCCTCATTTTCTCGTGGCTTTTGCTTGAAGCACTGGAATTTTTAATGCTATGGTTGAATGAACCTCACTGAATTCAAACTTCAACAAAGGCAGTCAACCAAAATGAAGACTTCTCTTGTTTCCATTTGAATTCATTTCCATATTAGGATATTGGAATCACATTTCAGACACAAGTCAAAATACAACACAATTTCCTCGTCTCCAAACAAAAGAATTCATCTGTCATTCCAAATCTTTGTGACATATATTGACAAAGCAGCACTTTTCTTTGTTTCAATAAAAAGTAAGCAATATGCATAAGTTTATGTATATCTACCATCAAAGTTTCGAAAATCTCTGATTTTTTTTTTTTATTTTGGAAAGTTTACAATTACTGCTTTACCATAAATGTTAAAAATATAAAATTATTTTCTGTAAGAAATTACTGGACCTAGCAATAGGATAAGCACTGGATTGTGAAGTAGGTATCAACAGCTAGGCTCTAAGGGGTTCTTAAATTTTAAAGGTTTCCATCTTTTGCTTAGTCTGCTCATGGATGTTTTCAGGTGGTTACAAACTTAAAGCAGCAAGTTGTTGTTATTGTTAGCTGTCTTTGAGTCAACCCTGACTCGTGGTGACCCCATGTGTGCAGAGCAGAACTGCTCCACAGGGTTTTCAAGGCTGTGACCTTTTGGAAGCAGACTGCCAGGCCTGTCTTATGAGGCACCTCTGGGTAGGTTTGAACCACTAACCTTTTGCCTAGTAATCAAATGCTTAACTATCTTTGCCACCTAGCTGCCCTAAAAACAATAAATAGGTGGACATTTTATGGTTTTTTTCAGCTAACTGGCATATAAGCCCATCCACGGAGTTCCTCTAACTAAACCAATACAATAATGCCTTTGCAGCTATGAAAACTGAAAAATGTTTTCTTTTAAAATGTAAAAGTAACACTGGGGCATTATCTACTCAAATTAGTTTGAACAAAGATTCAATGAAGTAGACAATATCCTTCAATCTGAACTGGCAGTTCAAACCGTCCTAAGTGAATACTAATCTGATAGCTTTACTGTTACATATGAAATAAGCATAAAGTGAATAATGACACTAAAGTATTCAAATAATCACTTCTGAAATACTAGCTGTATTTTATTTTCCTTGAAAATTCACAAAATAAAATTTCCAGTAGGCTGGATCTAACTACCTTGTCTCTCAACTACCAACTCCTCTACCAGCTAACAGTAAAGCTAGTCAACTTCACTGCAATCTTTTTTTCCTCCTAATTTCTGAAAAGGTACTGGAAACTTACTAACCTTCTTCACATTTATGGCTTGGGGCACTCTAATTCAACTACATGAAAGATCTACTACAAAAACTTTTTATCTTTTCTATATTACAGACTAGTCAGTACTTTCAAGAAAGTAAAAATCAAACCTACTTCATATTTCTTCTTTTCAAGGAGCCAATCTATGTGATCATCTTGGTCCCGTTCCTTAGCCACTACAACATCTCTTGGACTCACAATGTAAAAGAGTGATTCCCCTTCAGAGTACTCTATAACGGAGAGAAGAGAGGAAAAAAACTGGGTCAACTCAAGAGCAGAAACCTCGGCAATGGCTTCAGGGAACCTGGTTAGGCTACACAACGTCAGAGCAAACAGAAAACTCGCCTATCCTTGGAGCAAGTGAGTTTGGCTTTGTTGGAAGAAGAGGTAGAGAATGACAGAATATGTTTCAGTGCTTTTAAAAATATTTAAGCGTAAAATTATTTGAAAGAAAGAAGGAAAAGAGGGAGGGAGGGAGGAAGAAAGGAAAGAAGGAGAGAAAGGAAATACCAAAGCATTAAAAAAAAAAAAAAAAGATGGTTTAAAATTCTGTGTTCACTCTGACTCTGAAAAGTAGTACTCAAAATTCTCCATTACGTGCATATTAGAATTCACATACTATATATAAACTTTATTCATGGTCATTTAGACCACTGTTCTATTTTTACACAACAATTACACCCCACAGTCGGCCAGAAATGTTTCCTTCCCATCAAGGTCAAGGCCATCTAGAGCACAAATGACAGACGCCCCAAGCCCTGGGGACATAATCTATCATCTCAGCACGTTGTGCACAATGCCAGTCTTGAGAGTTTCACGCAGAATTCAATTATAAAACCTGTTCTGAAGGGTTTCTAAGCGTGCAGTAGAGTTTGCTCTGAGCAAAATACCTAGATTGGACGCTTTTAGTTATGAATCACATTTGCTTTTTGCCAAGGCCAAAACAGACTCTCACGTTTTTGTACTGATTAGGGGCTTCACATAAGAAAGTTCAAACATACATGGAATACTTCTTCATTTCCCTCGGCCAACATGAGGATTGAAAATACTATTGAAAAACATTGTTTTAAAAGGAAGAAAGAATTTTCAACAAGTTTATTATGTTTTCATCAATTTATTTTACAAGGATATGATAACACCCAAACACAGCTGCCTCTGGCATGACTAAGTAGTACTGGTTCTGCCTTTATTTCTGAGCAGTGACTAAGTGTATTCATTCATCTATTCAACAGATATTCACTGAATGCCTACTACATACCAGGCACTCTTCCAGGCTCTGATGATTCAGTCACAACCCTCAGACAAGTGCTCTGCTATTGCAAAGTGTGATGGTTAAGATTGTGCATCAACTTGGCTGGGCCATGATTCTCCGTGTTTTAATGTAATCACTCACACGATTGAATATACTGTGAGTGGCCAATCAGATGAAAGGGAGTCTCCTTGGGGGTGTGGCCTGCATCTGTATATAAGCAGACGTTCTGGCTTTTTGCTCTCTCTGGATCCTGCGGCTGCTTCCTGTCGTCTCATCTCCCATTCTTGGGACTTGAGCTGTCAGCTTATCTGCCGAACCTGGGATTCGTCGATCTGCACAGCTGTGAGTGGGAGCCCTGCTCTCTGACCTTCCGTTCTTGGGCTTGCCAGCTTCTGCAGCTGTGTGACTTGGGGGAAGCCTCTACCCTGATCCACGGACTTGGGACGTTCTAGCCTTTACAATCGCGTGAGCTGTTTCCTTGATATAATCTCTCTCTACATGTATATTTATACACTTTACTGGTTTTGCTTCTCTAGAGAACCCAGCCTAAGACACAAAGCATGACTCCTAGGGACACAGAGCTGGGACTGATATGACAGCTGTAAACCCATGCTGCTTGACTCCCATGTAATTAAAACGCCACACGAAATAGCTAGGACAATAGAAAGAAGGCCAAGACAAAAAGCTAGGACCCTACCTATCTTAGTCCTGATCTCATCTCTACCCTTCCCATTTGCTGTGGGAGCTTGGGAAACTTATGCAATATTCCTGGGCCTTGAGAAACCTCGTTTTCAACACAAGAGGCCTACTCAGTTAGTGTCTAAGATCCTTTGAGCACCACCTTCATTTAAATTCCCTTTTGTGCCAGTGTGAGTGGAAGGGAGAAAAACCATGAGTACAAGTACAATGAGCTATCTGCTATTTCTCACCTAAATGATAATCTCGACATTCATTTTCCTGAAAGCCTCTGACTGTCAGAGCATCAGAAGAGATCTCTTCACAAGTCTCAGGAAGCGGCTGGATAATATCCAATCTAGGCCTGGCACAGTATTCTCTTTCCTAGGAGGAAAACGAGGGAAAAGGCTCACTTTAGTCACATTTCTATAAATTATACAAATTAATTCTAATTAGCCATAGCTGTCTTGCTTTTATAATTTTAGCACACGTGAGCTCTTATAACAACATGCCGCAGACAGCTTCATGATACTGTTGTATTTTCTGACCGTTTGAGTGAAATAAACAAGGCCAGGTAGTCCTGTGTCCTCCAGCATGCCACCACTGCAGCCCAGTCACTCCAAGGAGAGTGGTGGCCCCAGAGGAGCTAACTCATGCTCAGGTCACTTCGTTACATCTCTTCCACATCATGTGTAAGGAAAAGTAAAGATAATTCCAGAAACTGCTCCATCATCCAAATCATTCCCACTCTTACTAAACTTACTGGTAATTCTGAGAAGCTAACGATTAAGAGTTATCTCTAAATCAGAGCTTGCTGAGACGGTGAAAATGTTCTTATCTTGATGGTTCCATATGGTAGCTACTGGTTAGAGGTGGCTACTGAATACATGAGATGTGACTAGTGTGACTAACAAAGCATACTTCTTGTTTTATATACTTTTAATTAATTTAAATTTAAATTGCACATTGGGCTAATGACTATAGTACTGGACACTCCAGATCAAGATGGAAGGAAAAGACAAGTTCACATTTCTTGAGAGAGAGTCCAAAAACCTAGTGGGTTCCTATACACAGGTTACTCTCACTTAGTTCTCAAATTAACTCTGCAAAGCTAGGCATTATGGTTCCTAATTTTACAGATGCAGGAACTGAGGTTCAGAAAAGTTAACTGAGGTCAAAGTTACATAAGTAAATGGGGAGAATAAGATTTTTTAAATAACCTGGGATTTATGGTGAACCATAAATTTTAAACCAGGTCTGTTCTACTCTAAAATTCATGTTTTTTGAGTATTCAGCATACAGGCATAAAACATACACTTGAATATTTCCCAAAGCAACAATACCAGAAACAGTGTGATACTGTTGCAGAAAAGAACACTGATGGGAGGAACAGAATGGAAAAAATCCAGAACTATATCCAACTCTGCAATTTTCCTAAATAAAACAGTAAGATTTGAAGATTTCTTTGATCAATTTTGTTAGGATAACTGAGTAGCAATTATATTAGCTTCATATCCCATATGTTTAAAATATTCCGAAAATGTTGTTCTTCTTGTTAGTTGCCATTGAGCTGATTCCAACTCATGGTGACCCTATGTGTCTCCAAAAATAGTAACTATAAAAGACGAACTAGTAGAGAAAAAACACGTGAATATGACTTTGTAATGACTATATTTGAGAGAAATGTCTCAATTTTGAAACAACAGAAAAAAATGAAGAAAAAAACTGAAAGATTTGAATATCAAAAAACTTAACTGCTAAAACAAAAAATTATCAAAGTTATATTAACGTAACAGAAAAAAATATCTGAACCAAATAATATTAAAAGATAACCATCTCACTAGAGTATATACAAAAAAAAGCTCCTTTATAAGGAAAGCAGCAGGATTGCGATCCATTTCATTACTTTCTAACTTCTGTTTACTGGTCAAAGAGCCCTACTTATCTGTGACTTCTTTAAGAGCAGGAAATTGCTCTTATTGACCTTTGATCCCTCATGCTTAGCACAATTCTTAGTATACGTGCACTTTACAATGAATGAAAGAAAAGTAAAACATGAGGGAAACAGCTTAATGAATTAGACTACATCAATGAGATGAAATAGTATGCAACTATTATAAATGATGGAGCCCTAGTGGTGCAGTGGTTAAGCATTCAGCTGTTAACCAAAAGTCTGGCAGTTCAAATCCACCAGCCGCTCCTTGGAAACCCTATGGGGGCAGTTCTACTCTGCCCTATAGGGTCGCTATGAGCCGGAATTGACTCGATGGCAACGGGTTTGGTTTGGTTTTTGGTTTATTATAAATGATTATGGAGACTATGCAGACATAGGGAAAGACAATGAAATAATGCTCATAAAAATAGGGCAACACAAAATAGCCCGTAACTATGACTGCAGCTATGTGAAAACATGAGCATATATAAAAGGTTTAACACAGAAATATTCTGGGTATTAATATGAGTGATTTAAAAACAAATTTTATTTAATGTCCCAGTTAAACAGTCTTCAATATGGAAAAAAAAAAAGAGGGAGGGGGGAGGTGGCCCAAAATTTGCCTCTTTATTCCTTTTGTCTTGATTTTGTCAGTTTATTTTCTGCTTGAGGATTTAAGGTATATTTTCGTGTTATATAAAGTATGTAGCTGTAACTATATACTCTGGCACACACATTTTTAAACCATCTCCAGACTCTCACTTCTTCCTCTGAAAAATTCCATTTTCTAATTTGTTCTACGAGGTTGGCCTTTCTTTGGTTTTTATTCCTTCCCAATACTCTTTTATTAATGCAGTTTTCCTTTCTAAGTTTTTTTTTTTTTTTTTTTTTGGTCAATTGTTTATTAGGCTTCACCCCTTTCATTTTACTGCTTCTTTCCTTATTTTTGTTCAATCACATTCTCAGTCCTCCCCCAGATGTCTCATCAAAAAGCATTGTATTTGCTCCCTTGGGAACCACTGCTTTTCTTTATTTTCAAAAAATAAATAAAATAATAATAAACTGATGTCCTGATAGGGCTAGAAGCCAGCCCTATTGATTTTAGTAGGTCTGAGTGTTCACTTAAGTCTACAGCATTTCATTGCCTAGCAACATGGGCACCCAGAGCTTCAGGTTACTATAGTGATGGCTTCCTAATGCAAGTGCTCTCTCCAAGAAATGCTCAAGAGCAGTTACCACTTCAAAACTGGGGCTCCCAAGGTTTTTCTCCCCATTTTATTCCTTGCTAATTTGAAAAAAAAAAGAAAAAAAAGATACAAACAAGGAGAGCCTACTTTACTGTAAGGGGCTAGACAATCGCAATTTCTTTTAGACAGAACATCCAAAAGAAAATGCTTTACAATATGCCGTATTCATGCCTTGAAGCCACTCCTATCCCCTTCCTAGCAAGACCCCTGGACAATAAAGACAAGCTGGGAATGGGACCGTCAGAGGCTTCAAAGGGAGAATAAGGGTGCATGCCCCTCCAACAGACCATATACACAAGCTGCATTCCAAAGCCATGTATCATGACATGTGGATGATCTGCTGTTTTCTATCAGCTATACATTTCATATCATCATTTGCATTGATAACTGACAGTGAGCAACATTCCATTTCAAAGGAGCAATTAGGCTGCTCAGAATCACTAGGCCACTGGGAAGGAAACAAATAGGTCTGGGCCACAAGAAATAATGAATCGCCCTTTCCGTAACTCCCTCTGACCACGGGGACCCCTGTTGTTACAGCCAATCAACTTCATTGCCGTCATTTCTGCTAATGCACAGTGTCAGCTTAGTTTCTTCGCCTTTAAGCAAGAGGAATCCTTCATTCCTTTCTAATAATATACGAAGAGAGATGGAAAAAAGCAAAAAAAAAAAACAAAAGTGACCCTCCCCTTGGCTAAGTAAAAGGAACAAAGGCAGACAGTGAGTGGGGCTTCTGAAAGGTAAATATGTTACGTCTACAGAGTAATCTCTGCCGACTATATTTTATAGGTCAGGAAGTTCTGCTCTGACTATAGCAGAGGCTTTTCACAGACAACCTGATCTTGGGTGTGATACTAAAAGTGAACCCCTGAATCTCTGTACTTAGGGAAAAAATAATTACCGTTTTTTCTGAAACCTCCTTTACGTAGGAAAGCATAACAAGCTGGTCGCAGAGAGGCGCAAGCCCGCTGATGTAGAATTCAGTTTCAAACTGAGACACTGCAAACAAAAGGGATATTGGATTTACCATTAACAGGAGCAAGAAGCAGCACACAACCAGAGAGACGGATCTTCCACTGACAAACACACTGCAAGTGCTTGACAACAATCAGGACTAGAAAAGGCATCTGGGAACTTCAACACTTGAAAATTTCCATCATATACAACATGCAAGCTGAACAATAGCAGCAACAGGAAAGATCAAGTGTGATGGTGTGTGCAGCTAGTTAAAACATGAGATAGTTAAATCATATTAAATCATGTTGAAACCTGCAAACCTCAATGTAAACTATTATTAATACCAATAACAATTAAACAACAATGCCTGAGCTTAAGTTTTGTAGGATATTAAAGTGGTACAAAGGTCAAAAGGAATGCTATTTATAATTATGAAACCATTTTGATATCTTTTTTTGGTATTAAACATTTTATACAAGGATTTTAAAGTAAAAAAAAAAGTATGCAAATACACATTACATTATGATAAAATACCATTATTTCTTAAGTGAAATAAAGCTCAGAGGAAAAAATAAAATCTTTCTTTCCTTTTTAAAGATTGTCTTTAAAATTCACAAGAAACATGGCCTCACTTAAGAAGTGTACAGATTTAATTACAATGGACCCAAAAGACCTGATAGAAAGTTCAGTGGGATAAGAAGTAAAAATATTACTATGGTGGAACTCTAATGGTTAGCTGTTATAAAACATAACCAATTGTTGTTTTAAGTGACTAAGTTTTGAGGTGGTTTGTTACAGGGCAAAAGATGGTGGATGCAGTATTAGTACTAGAAGCGGCTCCTTCAGGAAATAAATGCTGCACTCATTGACTCACTGGGGAGGAAATGCTCATTAAGAGTTTCTTCATTCAGATCTTTCCATAGTTCTGCAGTATTAGCTTTAGATTTAGTAAGCTTTTGTGATGAAATTACCCTCGAAGGGAAACGAGGGGAACTCAGTATAACAGTGGAAATCACATTGAATGTAGAGTCAGGAAATTTTGGTTATAACTTCCACTAACTGTGTGAACTTGGATAAGTCATTTTAACCTCTATGGGTGTAACTTCTTCCATCTATAAAACAAGGAAATCAGAGTAGAAATAATATCCATAACACAGATTAAATGAGGAGCTACTAGATACTTCCTCTTCATAGTCTCCGTTTTCCTTGCAAATCACTTGTCTTTGCCTATCCTTAAGGTTGCTCCTTACACAACCATTTACAAAATTTATTTTTCACACCAAAGTAAAATTGAGATGATCAAGAAAAATTACCAAATGGTTGGCAACAGAAACTTTAAAAAGGATAAAAATCCATTGCCATCGAGTTGATTCCAATGCATAGCGACCCTACAGGACAGAGTGGAACTGCCCCATAGAGTTTCCAAGGCTGTGCATTTTTACCGAAGCAGACTGTCACATCTTTCTCCTGCAGAGAGGCTGGTGGGTTCAACTGCGGATTTTCTGGTTAGCAGCCGAGAGCTTGACCTCTGTGCCATCAAGGCTCCTTTCAAAAATGACACTACTTCTTATTGTTTGGTCCTTGATTGGTTTACATACTTAGACACTGTTCCCTGAACAGAACCATAGACTGGAAGTCCAAAGTCAGGAGCTCTGGTCCCAGCTCCTCCACTAACATATTTTTCCTCAGCCTCTGTGTGCTTGAACTGAATTTTCTTACTCAGGCACTTGAAAATAATTTTGGTTAAAGGGTAATTGAATGAGTGTTCACATGAAAAGCATATGTAGAGAACTAGCACCACTACAACCTCATGTGCAAAGATGAGCACTGAAGGTTCTGGACAAGTTCACAGTGTTGTATGTGTATGTGGGGTTGGGGTACAGAGGAAGGTTGGAATGTACTGTTGAACAGTATGGGACCACAGAGACCACACAGAGATTAAAGAGGTGGCCAGTTCACATCCTAGAAGGCATACAGGCACATTAACAAGAGGTTTTGATTCCCATCACTCCTGAGGTGCTAAAATCTGGTAGAAATGGACTTGAATTGTTTTACTAAATCACATTCCACTTGAGTCCCTGTTGAAATATTAACAAGAGGTTTGATTTCCATCACTCCTGAGGTGCTAAAATCTGGTAGAAATGGACTTGAATTCTGTTTTACTAAATCACATTCCACTTGAGTCCTTGTTGAAATGTTACAGACTACAGCTCCCATACCATCAGCTTGGGTGAAGAACAAATAACCACAGATGCCACAGAGACTGTTTCCATGGGAAACAAAAGGAGGCTTTGCTGTACTTGTCTGCCACAGGCACCCAAGGGATAACACCATCTAATCCCGAAAGAAGGGGAAGGTGAGTGGGGGACTCTCCTGTTTGGAAGGCCCAATGGCTCATTCACAGGCAGTGTCAGACAGTGTCTCTCCTCCAAATGTAACCAAATATATACCAAGGGTCTGGTTTTTAATGAGTGCGCTAAGAGATCAGTTTATATAAGCACGAAAAGAACAGGAAAACTAGAAAATAATCCTACCTGAATCTTTCTTCGTCCACATCCTGCTTCCCCAATCCACAATAGTTTACATAAGTAAGATAGAACATTTCCTGTTCTCTAATTAAGAGCATAACAGATATGGTTAATTTCATCTGTCAACGTGGCTAGGCTACGGTGTCCAGTTGTTTGGTTAAATACTACTCTAGTTGCTATTACAGAGTAGTTACATGTGACTAAATCAGTTGGTCTTAAAGCAGATTACCTTCTATAACGTGGGTGGGCCTCAATCAATCAGTTGAAGGCCTTAAAAGCAAAAAAGCAGTTTCCCTATGGTGTATTCTGCCTCCAGAATATTAACAAAAAAATCTTAGTAGAACTCTCACTTCACTCTTCTGGTCACCTGACCTACAGATCCTGGGATGCACGCTGCAGAAATCCCCAGCCTTCCGGGTGACCTATGGATCTTGGCCTTTCTAGTCCCCTCCAATCGCATCAGCCAACTCCTCGGAGTAAATCAATGATTCTATCCATTCATCCGTCCATCTATCTCTCACTGGTTCTGTTTCTCTAGAGAACCCTAAGACAATAGATAATGTAATGTGTTCTTAAAGAAAACAAGAAAGACATGCAGAAGCATGTATCTATTTCATCTCTCATTTTCAGATACTATAATAAACTCATATTTGTTAAGTACTAAATCTTAACAGACTTTACTAAATCGAGAATTAATAATAATTTAGACACAGCCTACATGCACTGGCTACGTTATAAACTAGTAAAGAAATGCTATTTATAGGAGGTGGGGCCAAGATGGCAGAGTAGTCAGACGCTTCTGGTGGAGGCTGTTACAATAAAGACCCAAAAAAACAAGTGATTCGATTATATATGGCTACCTGGGACCCCTGAACACCAAACGCAGAGTTGAGGAACTGGACTGAGTGGCAGGGAGAGGGAGAGACGGTTCGGAAGCAGCGACGAATTGCCAGACCTGACCTGGTGAGAGCCTGAGCCCTTCAGGCCTGAGCAGCTCGTGGGTGAGCGGAGAGGCAGGCAAACGGCAGTGCTCAGGAGACGTGTTTTCTGCATCAGGAGGAACCCAGTGCCAGAGAGTCTACACGGCCACCCAGAACCAGTGAGAAGCAGCCCTCACAGACGAAAGACAAGTACTTGCATACGGCTTACCGCATGGATCAAAAATGTTCCCCTTAGAGAAAAAACTCTCTCCCATTTACCTCCCCACTCCCTGATCTGCACTGGGTCCCAAACCAGCTTCAGCAATTGCGGAGTCCCCTGGGCCAGAAGTAGGATCCATCACATGTCCGGAGCCATTCTCCCTGCCTTGGAGAGTGAATGAATTAACAAACAGGAAAAAATAAACTGCCGGCTTCCCTAACCCAGGAACCCAGGGTAGGTACAGCTCCTCTGCCTAGGCACAGGCATAAGAGATCCATGGACTTTGAGTGCCTTTTCCCCTGCACAGACTTGTGTGGGCCCATCTCAACAGTGTAGGCCCTCATTACCTCAGTATAAGGTATATACTGGAACTCTAACTGCAACTGTTTCAGTTGTGAAATGGCAGGTTCTTGACATATGACACTGTTCTGCCCATTAAGCAGGGTCTTCATCTACCCACATCAGGGGCCTGAGGACTGGTGGCTCCAACCATGTCACCTAGCCACCTGCGATAGGGGCTCATGAATAAGAGATGCCCCCTACTCCTTACAGCCAACAGCATTAGGTGCTCAGAGTCCGGATGCAAAACCCACTCAACTACGTGCTCTAAGGAACAGGGACACGCCTTACTCCTGGACACGGTGGCGTGGCCGTCAGCCCCCTGCCTTGCTCAGAGTATATCTCCCTGCTGCAGTGAGATGCCTTTGCCTACACCAATCACCCATGCCTGTCTAGCACTGTAAATGAGAGCCTACACCACACACTTGGTGGCTATCTACCTAGGCACCTAAGCTGAATTCATACAGGAGGAGTGGGTGGACTCCTGAGCTCACATACCTACTAACAGATCTAACCACCTGGTGAAAGGACATTAGAGCTTCACAGCTGTCAATAATCAAACTAGCTCATATGAGCAGTCTATTTGGGCATAATAAAACAAAACAAAAAGCTAGGACACAGTAAGCAAAGATTAAATATAATAACTTACTGATGGCTCGGAGAAAGAGTCAATATCAAATCACATAAAGACGCAATCCATGACGGCTTCAGCAAGCTCCCAAAATACAGAATCTAGAAATATTCCAGAGGAGGAAAATTTCTTGGAATTACCAGAGGCAGAATACAAAAGATTAATATACAGAACTCTTTTAAGAAATTAGGAAGGAAATTAATCAAAACACAGAACACACAATAGAGGAAATTAAAAGATTAGAGAAGAGCATAATGACAAATTTAACAGGCTGCAAGAATCCATAGAGGGACAGCAGTCAGAAATCCAGAAGATTAACAATAAAATTTCAGAATTAGACAACTCAATAGAAAGTCAGAGGAGCAGAACTGAGCCAATGGAAGTCAGAATTAGTGAGACAGAAG